CATAAGTCCTTCGTGCCTTGGATTCGGCCCTCGCTGGGCTATTTGAGCTATACCAGAAGAGAAAATAAGTAAACGATCTCATCTTGTTTCTCCTTGTGGCCAAGGTATTGTTCATGTCCATCGTAGAGGCGACGATGTTTGGAAGGCCGTCCAAGCGGCTGGCTTTGTCCCGCAGCGGCGGCTCACAGCTCTGGCCCGTGGCCAAGCAAAGTGGCAAGTCCTCATTTGTGGCAGCCGCCAGGATGAATAATATTGATGATCATATCATTGGACATATTTGGATGTCACAACGCTATAGGATGTTGTACACATCTAGTATGTTTCATCACTGATGATACTGATGTCTGAGAGATTTGAATGTTTTGCTTGACCTCACCCATCCACGCTGTCCTTGCACGTTCTGCAAGCTAGTCTGCTTTTATTTTGCGCGGAGCGGATGGGAGGGGCAAAAGTTCTTGACGCACAAAGACATTGGCACGCAAACACCCTAACCCTAACTGACTGCAAGAATGCCGAAGAATGCTAGCAAGAGGACATCAAAGGCACGGACACCTGTGCATTCACTAGCTGTGACTAAGCCCGCCAATCATACTATAGGTTCTATAGATATACCATAGCTTGTGCCCGTGCCTTGCCTGACCCAGGAAGTGGGGCTGAATTTCAGGAGCAGGAGCTGTCCCACGGCCCATGAGTTCAGTATGTTTCCGATGAGTTTTCAATTGATTTCTTATATTTAATGTTTGTTTGTTGTTTGCTGATGTCCTTGTTCCCTACTGCTTTCCCTACTGCTTTCTTCTCCTTCAGCACAACCGTTCCAGGGTGGTTCGGGATCATCAAGGCCGTTGGACCAAAGAGTGGGACGGCATTTGTGCAGAGATGGGGGCTTTCCAAAAGCCTAGCTCTCAGAGTGGCCGAGCGAAAAAGGTCCGTCATGGATGGAGTTGGGAACGGGCCCACGGTTGTCATTCGAGTTTGAAAGACAGCCGTTGGGATGTTGCTGCTATGAGATGGGTTCACTTAAGCCAATGATCACGAAACTTCGTGGCGAGATACTTCAACTTCATCATTCGTCCTTGTTGGCTACAGTATGCCGCGGCTATGCAGCTCTCCCGTGCCGTCTATTCCAGAGAGAGATCTGGCAGATTCAAGGATTTGTCCCACGTACTGTTAGACAGGGAGCCTCAGATTTCCTTTGGGTTGGCGACCATTTTTTGCTACCCCGGCGTCTAGAAATAGGTCCAAGCTCAAAAATGAAGAACCCTGATCTCTCATTGATTTGTAAAACACGCGGTACATCTAATGTATATAATGCTAGCAAGGTGGCAGGTCTGGGGGAGGAAAAAGGTCGTTTTTCACAAGCTCGTGTGGTTAACAAGAAGCGCTGCCAAACGAGAGGTAAATGATCCGTCGAATGCCAGGTTTGCTCCTGGGCCGTTGTCGTCGTGGTCCGCTCTGCGCACTGGATGTTTCTGCTCCATTCTGCTCTGCCACGCAGGAGTTGCGGGTCTTGGCAGTTGCCCTTCAATCTTTAAACCCTCAGCTGCTGCCAGAGATTTGGGCCGAAGTGGCCAGGCGCTTGGAGAAGCTTGGCAAAATCGACTCACGAGTCCTCTTCGGGGCGTTTTGGGGTCGGAATGTTTCACGGTGATGGACCTTTGGATTCACCGTGATTCACCCCTCTTGAGGGTCAACAAAGTAGGTCAGTAGGTCTCGTAAGAATGCCCTCCCATCTCTCTATATACTACCGATGTGGGGGGAGTACCCCTCAATGCCATTAATGGATCAGTAGTAGAACCACCCCCTAGAAGGTCCCTAGCAAAAAACATTTGCGGCATGAACCCGTCAGAGTTCCCGAATCTCAATCCCATGCCAACCTTCCTGATCCGTTTGAATGACCCTCCAGCTAAACACGAGCACACCCTGCATAAGACCAAGGACTGGAGCTTGGCTTACCTCAGGGTCAGATTGGCAGGATGGACCGGAAAGATATAGGATCTCTTTTGCGGTGAGGGATTGCATCATGCCACACAGTATGACATTGCCCCGCATAGACACGCCACATACAAGTGAGTGCTTTGCATCACCCACCAAGCATCACCAAGTTGCTCATGCACCACCCCCTCCCAAAATGGATGTCGCTGTGCAGGACTTGCTGGGCGTTCTGGGTGCGCGGCCCCTCAAGGAAACTGATCCGCAAGTGTTCCAAGCATTCCACGGATTGGGTCTAGGTCGGACTGTCTCTTAGTGGGTTGCAGTTTCATTTTCTTGATTTGTTGGGCCACTGCCGGGCTGGTGGGAAAATGGCAAGCCACAGCTCAAGCACAGAACCACTTGACTGCGTTCGCCCAGGCACGAGAGCCTCGTGCCGTGACCTTTGCACCTGGGGGAGCAGAGCCTCAGGTCCTCCTCGACCTGCCGCATGGCCAGATGGACAGATGAAACTTCCAAAGGAAGGGAAATCATGGGAACCCTTAGCATCCCTCAGCCTCGGCAGGTTTCATTGCTTTGCTTTAGTCGTCTTTCACGGTCAACGCGTTCTTCGTGGCCAGCGAGTGACCTGGGATTTTGCACGATCGGGAAGGTTGAAGAGGCTGGTCAAGCAACGGTCCATGAGAGCCATATCCACGACTTCGGTGGATCGGCTTCGAGCTGCCTTGTACCTAGGAGCGACCGGGTCGTGGTGTTCAAGCCGGTGGGCTGGGAAGTCTACAACGACCATGGCCACATGCAACTCATCGACTTCGTGCGAGCAAAAGTGCCTCCGAGGCATTAAGTCAGTCACTCCTGCAAGCTTGCCAACCCAACCATTTATTGCTCCACCGCGCACACACACAATACAAACACATACAAACAATTCACGAGCCAGACCAAATTCTTCAACTGTTGCCAACTCATCCTGCAGAAGTCTGACGGGCAACATTCTCCCAGCTTGTAAAACGATACGTGGCACATGGGTGCACAGTAGCAGAGGTAGCCAAGTGCTCACTGCCGAGCGGCCGACAGGTGGGGGACTTGATGATCTTCCGGGATCCCAGCAGAGACATGGGCTTCTTGCACCGCTTGGATGTGCCGAGCTCCGGTTTGCTCTTAGCTGCAGCTCGGTCCAGTCTAGAGGAGCGAACAAAGTCCTATTCCCCAACTATTTGGCACTCTTCCGCAACTACTCTTCAGAAACTATTTCGCGATCTTCAGAAGCTTATTTGCATGCTTTAGAAAGTATTCTTCAGAACTTGTACAATATTGTAACCTAATTCCTAATTGCATGAAGGAGCACTGGCTGGGTGGGGGGTGGGGGGTGGGTGGGTGGGTTATTGACGTACCTTGTGACGGCTACGGTATATAGTAATTTTACGATTTGCAGAAACTTTTTCGTGCAGGCTTGATGTTGCCCTTCGACTCTTCGTAGTTTCTGAACATTAGTTCCTGAAGAAAACCGTAGAGTTTCCGAAGATTGGTTTCCGAAGAATATTTTCCGAAAATAGCCTTAATTTTCCGAAGATCACTTTTGAGTTGCCGAAGATTTGTTAGTTTCCGAAGAAAACCGTAAAGTTTCCGAAGATCACCTTTTAGTTTCCAAATAAAGCTTTGACCCTAGAGGAGCACGGTGCCCGTGCTTGGGGACCCAGTGCGGACTGCACTTATATTCTATGACTTGTTGTGAGCCTGGGATGTTTGGAGGAAAATATGCGCCATGCTTTCACTTTCCGTTCTTCCCAGGCGAAAGGCTATGAGGCACATGCGGATCTCCAGCTGCAGCTTCACACAGGCAGGGCGGCAGGGTGCATGAGGTGGGGGTGCTTGTGTGTGGGGATCGGCATCAAAACTCAAACCTGTTAGGGAACCGGCCGAGAATCTTATGTTCTTTGGGTGAGCGTTTGGTCGATATATGATATAATATGATATCATATTGTCATATAATCATATAGTTAGTTATACGCAGATAACAATTTATAGAATATAAATCATATGTCAATGTCTAATTATATGATTCTGCCATAGGCCTAGGTATAAATTTTCTCACGCCAGGAACTACTCCAGCCCCTGCAAGCTCCAGCTGTCCTTCAGAGGTGTAAACTGTTCCAACCTAATATATAGCGATGGCCTCCAACCTACTAGCGATGGCCTGTGAACCGTTGCTGCAGGTCAGCTGCAAAGAGAATACATTGTCCTTTGCCACGGCTTCCTCCCCGACATGCGTCGCCTCTTTGCCAGCACTGGGGAGAGTACGATGCTTCTGGTTTGATATGCGCAGTCGCCCCACATTCTGCATGATGGTGACTGTGTGCCTGCAAAGGCCGCTGACCTGGTAGTTTTTAAAGCATTTTCGGGCTCATCCAACGTCCAAAATTGCCAAGACAAGCAACCCCAATTCTCGTCGACATTTTGAGGTCTCATTGACGCCCGGCTCTGGGACTTGACGCCTCTCACCGAAGCGGGGCTCGGAAAGGCGGCGTCGACACGGATGAAGGCGTGGCCTGCCAAGTGCATGCATCCAAATCATTCAAGCATTTCCTTCAGCAGGGGGCTCTGACGAGCAGTGCAAGGCTGTTGTATGCACTTTGGGCACGCAAGGACGCTCGCGTTTGGCCATCGGGCCAACCCAATAACCAACAACCGTGTCAATCCTCCCAAATGAGCAGGAACTGTCATGCGACACTTGCAGTACCCAAGTGCATCACAGTTTCAAGCAGTTGCAGGTCGCTTCGTATGTTCACTTTCCTGCCGGTGCTTTGGCCTTGACAGAGGCTTGGCTCAGGTATATAATCGGAAGCCTCAAACCTTCATCAGACTCCAGGTGTTTCAAGCATGAACTGCAGATAGGGCTTGGCGAATTGAGGTGGTCATGATCAGGATTGACACTGGCCGCAAGCACCAGATCAGGAGCCGCGTCAGTCGCTGTCAGTCACTCTATGGCTGGAAGCAGAATCGAAATATGCTGCATGATATTCACTAATTTAGTGACTTGAGAAGTGTTGCTTCGCGTTTTTGTTTGGCTATGTTTGGCTTACAGCAGCATGAGAAAGACGACTTTCTCCATTGCCTCAGCCTACATTTTTTGCCTTGGGGCCCGTTGGGCCCGTGGTTTCTTTCATCTTCCTGACCAAATCGGAATGGCGAGCTCGCCTCCAAGAACTTTCCATCGCAGGCCCTTGCCTGAGCCAGCCATCGCTTTCTCGTCCTCACGAGGTCGGCAGCTCTTCAGCGAGGCATTGGCACAAGGTGGTCTTGCTTGTTTTTTCCGACTCATTGAGCAGTTCCATACACAGGGAGAGCCCGCTTACTGTGGTCTGGGAACTTTGGCGATGGTCATGAACGCGCTGGGAGTTGACCCTGAGCGAGTATGGAAAGGACCTTGGCGCTGGTTCAGCGAGTCACTCCTGGACTGCTGCGAGCCGTTGGAGACTGTGAAAGAGCGGGGAATCACCTTCAGCAAAGTTGCTTGCCTTGCACGTTGCAATGGTGCTCATGTAGAGGCGCACAGGGCTGATGAGCCCGATGTGAGCTTGGAGGATTTCCGCAGAGCTGTACGGAAGACTTGTGAGGCCGATCCTGAGGATGAAAACTTTCAGGTTATTGTTGCATCTTACAGTCGCAAGGCTCTCAACCAAACAGGTGATGGTCACTATTCGCCCATTGGCGGCTACCATTCAGAGACCGACCAGGTCTTGATTCTTGATGTTGCTCGCTTCAAATACCCACCGCATTGGGTGCCTGTGAAGACCTTATGGGAAGCCATGTGCCGTGTGGACCAAGAGACTGGCCGTTCCCGCGGATTTATGGTCATCGGATCCACTACGTGCTTAAAGGCATCACGCCTTGCTCTAGTGTGGCGATGGCCTGAATGCAGCACTAAAGCTAAGCAGGCCGCGTCAACGCTGTCAGGCTGTTCGAAGTCTTTCTCGCAGGCACTCCTTGCCGATCCTCTGCCTCAAAATGCTTCAGCTGCGGCTGCAGAGGTTATCAGACGGGCGTTGAGATTCATTGAGTCACCTCAAATGCCCCTAACGGTGGTCTATAAGGTGCCGGAAGGTCAAAGTGATCAGGAAGTGGTGGAGGTGGCGAAGGCATTAGGTAGGTTTGGCGATGGGCTGAACCGTGCTTTAGGCGACGAATGCTTTGGGATTGAAGACGTTGGCGATACGGTCGAGGAGCTTGGCCCAAACAGGGTTGCTGCATCAGTCCTGGCCATTGAGCCCTCCCTGTGGCAACAGGCCCTTGGGACAGACGTCGCAGCACAAGCGGCATGGGAGGTTCTCAGGCCGCTGCTGCTTGACTTTCTGCAGGTGCTGAAGAAAGACATCTTTGTTTTGCAGCAGCAATGGGCAGACTTGCTGACTGCACGTGAGGAGATGTGTGGTGCCATATGTTCTGGCTCATGCGAACGCGCGTGCGTGCAAGCTGAGCCCAAGAGAGAAGGTTACTAATACGTTTGGAGCCTTGGAGCTTAAACATGATCCAAGAAGGGCAGATAGCAGCACAATGACCCAAAGCTTCGCACCGAGAACTTTTCATCGCAAGACGTGGAGAGAAAAGAGCAAGGCTGCCACTGTACTGCTAGCCTGCACATCATAGCCCGGCTTATCTCATGGCCTTAATTCCATAAGTGTTGCAGTTTTGCCAACTAGTAGGCGTTGGCAAGCACAAGGTGACAAGTTCAAGTAGAGGCTTATGATGTGGGTATACTAGGTAAATTGTGAGGTCTTATTTGTTCCACGTTGAAGGCGGAAATTGTTCCGTTCATAGCGATTGGTTGCTACCAGGAGCCACATGGCGCACGTTGGGCATGCGATTCTCCGTGATGGACGGTACTCCAGCATCTTGGCGAACGGAGATATACGAGCCTTACTGACGGAAGGAGGTAGAGCCCAGGAGAACCAGGGCCTTTCGCTGGAGTGAATCAGACAGTTTTGTAGCACAACATGGAAACTTATGGATTTTGTTTGGCATCCTCAGGGTAAGGATATCCCGAGACCTTCAATGCCGGCCCTGTCGTTCAACCACGATTAACGTGACCAAGACTTAAAGGCCTTCAGATTCTTATACTTCATCTCCTATTCTCAATGTTGCGACCTGCTATGTCCAGGTGTAGCAACGTTCCGTGCAGATCGGGTCCTTTGCAATGGCATCTTGGCTCAGCTAAGCAATCTCTTTTAGCGACACTTATTTTTTCTCTGGCAGATCCAACTTGAATCTTCTGTTCACCCGTTGTAAGGCACTTGATTTTCGGCACGTTCTGTATGGGTTTATGTTCCAGTATCTCGTGTTGAAGTGAGTCTAAAGGCTTCAAGCTGGTTCCAGGTATTTATTCTAAATATGGCCACCCATCAATGCTCAAAGTGTTTGGTCCGGCGCATTCGTAAGCGGCTCTAAGCATGTGTCATTCGTGAAATCAGTAGGTTCTAAATGGTTCTAAGGTCTTTTCTAAGTATACATATGGAAAGCTTTGTTGAACCTTGAGCACTAGCCCAGACAGGCCCAGACAATGTTATAAATTATAACATATTATAACTATATAGATGAGGAGCACAGCCCTTGACTCTAGCGTTGGAGGAATTTGTGTGTGTTGCAACCACTGGATCCTCTGGCCTGCGGTTGAATGCTTCTTTTGATAATGTTGTGGGGTCCGCTCGTTTGATATGAGAGAGATGTGACATTTTCTGCTGGCAAAGCCCCTCCTCCGATGTCATAGAACCACCGCTATCATTGTCGAATTTTGCATTCTCTTGGCTTTTGTGGGTTGTCCCGTGTTCAGCTTTTGTGGTTTTCCTGCTTTTCGGCTTAAGCGGACGAAAGGAGAACCCCTTGCACAGTTAACTTATACTTATACCAAAGGTGTCCACGAACAAGGGGAGTGAGTGATGACCACCCAAGAATTCAGGTCTCATCCAAGATCCTGGAGGACACATGCAGTCACTTGCCACTCTTCAATCCCCCATTTTGGTGCACGTCAAACTGCAAAACATCAGGTCTGTGCATAGGTCAGGGGGTGCTGCAGCGATCCTGCATTCCGAGGCAGCTTTTTGCCACTCAGCTGCAAGGCGGCCCTGACCTTGAAAAGGGCATTCTGATGAGTGTAGACTGTGCCAACCCATGCAAATGTTGCACATCTCACACATCTCGCACCAGAGAGCCTTGGCAGTGGCTAGTGGAGGCGTCATGTCTTGAGTCGGAAAAGTTCAAACGCGCGGGCACGCGCGCTCTCTCTCTCTCTCTCCCATCTCTACAATCATATTGTCTGACATGAACCACTGGGCCCGGACCTGGTCACCGTCGTGAACCCAGGCATCGACATCGACTGCGCTTCGCAGCAGGTGGCGAGTGGTGGGATGTCCAGGCCAGTGAGACCTCAATCTTACTGTAGTAAATTCACGTAAATTTCCCTCGGATGAATGGCTCCTTGCATTGTGTCTTCTTATCTTACACTTTGTTGACCCACCCGAGACAGATTTGAAGGACGAATGCACCTTGAACAACTTCTTCCCTTTTTGGACTAGCAAGAACTACACGATTTCACTGCACCAACTCCATGCAGGTCCCCTTGCCTTCGGAATTGGAAGCTGCCCTGCGGCGGCTGTTTGCTGGACCTGCTGGACCTGCTGGACCCGCCGCGCGCGAAAGCCCGAACCTTGGCGGAGCCTTCTTCAAAGGGCACCAAAACCATTCGTGAGTACAAGAAGAATTGAAATATATTGAAATGCTTGAGTAGATGTTGATGATGTTGCCAGTTTCCACGGCGGTGTACTTTGTTCAATCCCTTTGGTGAAGGTATGCAAGCAATGTGCCCTAGCTTAGTGACTTAGTGCGAGGTCGCATCCACACCTGGGACGGACAGCTTCCGAGCTGGGAAGTGTTGAGCGCAAAAAGAGCAGCAGCGCGAAGCGGGGACGGGGAGCATGGCCAGCTAGATGGTATTGAAGTATATATTCTATGTAAATATATATATATATGTGTGTGTTTTTTTTGTTTTTGGTTTTTACTTCTTTATTTTTTTAATATAAGTATATATTAGTCGGACATTTCGCTCAACGAAATGGCTCAACCGTGACCATTATTGCCTTGCTTATCATTGGTCCTTGGTCAGAGCTTTCTCCAGGTGGCGACAAAGGGGGACAGACGTGTGGCTTGGGCAACCCAGACGTGTGGCGTTTTACATGCACGTGATGTCGGAGTGCTGGCCTGTACCAGAGAATCTGGTATCGGCATTTGCTTTTTTATGATGAGGGGCCAAGAAAAGAGAGAACGCAGGGATCAAAGCGGCAGCGATGAGGTCTATGCTCGTTTGGAGGCTGTGCAAAGCCTGGCTCCTTGTGCCAAAAGGCCAGGAGCCACGGACCATGCGAATTCATCTTCAAACTTTGGGGTACTGTATTCACTTGGGATAGTGGCTCATTGCTCACAGGGTTGCTGCTGAAGCGTGTTCTCCCTCTACCAACAGCTGACTGCATGCTAGCACCATATCACAGCTCAGCCCAATGTCAAAGGAAGTTCTACTTTTTTGCTCAACTCTTTTGCTTTCTTTTGCTATTGTATCCGGATGAGCCATGATGAATCCTCAGAGTCATGCTAGAGATGTTGGCACTGGCTTGTTTCATTTTGGTTCCTTCTCGTGACCACCAGCGCTGCGCACCAGTGGAAAGCAGAAAGCCATGGATGCCATCCGAGCCAGCCTGAAGGCTCGGCTGGACCATTGATGCTGCGAAAAGGGCCATAACAAGTCCCACACAACATGATACAACACATTTCATACTGTAATGCCAAAGGCCCATGTTGTCAAGCAGGACATCTTTGGCTTTGCATGATTTTCCTGATTCTTGCAGAAGACCTGGCTTCGAACCAATGTTGCAGCTGTGGGTGGTAGGAGGGCAAAACCTCCTTCTCAGCTGTATGCACCTTCCCTTCGGTCACTGTAAGCCAAGCACACCCAAATATTTGAGACAACAAATGTAACACCTACAGTACAAGGATGCACTTGCCCCCCTTAGACTCGAGACATTTTGCAAGCAGCGTTCATTGCCAATCACAATCAAGAGCTTGTGCTTACTATCGCGGAATGAATTTGTTGCGCATCGAATTCTGAGCTTAAAGTGGGCCAACTGCAGGACGAACATCCTTCAGTCAGAATGGCAGCTTCAGAGGAGCTTTCTCAATTTGAAGAACTGGTTTCTTCAATTTGGCCGCTATCACTATCCTCCTGTAGTCCGAAAAGTTAAGCTTCATTGGCCCAAAGGAAAGTCACCAACCTGACTGCATCTACACTGATATAGAGCATCCGCTTGACAAGGAGCTCGCCAAAATCGCGAGCGAGAACGACAGCCCGGGGGTCCTGGCAGAGAGGGTGTTCATGCGCTAAATGCCGATTTCACTGACGTGATCCCGGGTTACATGTGCCGAAGCCTCTCAAGGCCGGTTTCCGACTCCATCGAACTGTCGAACGGCTCAGGTTCAGATCCTGGAGAATTGACAGCGAAAGTCTTTGCCGTGCAGGCGATGACACCTTTCGACATCCCACACATTCATGGTTGAACATAGGCTTGTTCGGCTTTCGTATTTGTTTGAGGTAAGGTGCACATATTATACGTATATATATAATATATATATAATTATATATAATATATAGAATCACATATATATATATATTAGCTATTGCTTAATGAATTTATATGCATACCTATATTTCATGTAACGTATAGATATACATAAACATATAGTAATATATATTACAAACCCCCC